GATATTTTTGTGAATACTTTGATTCAATTTGTCATACTGTAGTGTTGTTCTTAAGGGATTTGAAGAGTGGACCAAGGAAAAAAAAAAAAAAAAAAAGAAAAGGATGCTTTTAGCCCATGGGCACATATAACTTGGTAAGAACAAACCAGGGCAACATCGTCATGTTGCACATCCCTGGCCCCATGTCTACGCTGCAGTGTTGCAGCACTAAGAACTTACTTGGAGACTTGCAAGGACACAGGCAGACCTGGAAAAAGACAGACTCACACAGACCAAGGCAGACCCAAGACACTTTGGAAGAATGCCTGCATGGGCTCCAAGTTAAGGTTTGCTTTTTACTGTAACCTGGGTGCTTCTGAGTCATTCTTGCAGTGATCAGTTTCTTGTAAATCCCTGCTGTTTGGCAGAGTCTACCCCCTTCTCCCAAAGCAACTTAATTCAGATCTCACCTGACTCATGAGAACATCATGGCACAAATGGGGCATGAAGCCACAAGTCCACTGTAGAAGAAGCTAAGCTGTGGAGCAGTTCTCACAAAACCTAATCTGTGCTAAGCATGCAGAGTGATCCCTCTGGAAAGGAAGACTGTGTATGACATCCTGTGCGGGTATATCAGGGCAACTTCATGGGGATGTACTGTGGGGAAATGCGCATCATGACCCCTGCACAGTGAAAGATGAACCCACCCCCATACAGGAAATGCAAAACCGACAATCTGGGCAGGTTCAGTGCAGAACTCACCATTCCAAGAGCCATCACCTCCTTCTGCCTCTCAAGCTTGGTGCATCTGCGCTGCAAGCTGCCCTTCCAGATCTGTGAGGAAACTCAGGATGTAGTAAGAGGGATATGAGGCCAGTCACCAACTCCATTCTTCCAGCCTTTAGGGGAGGGGAAAGAAAAAAAGAAAAGGGGGGTAGCAGGGACAGGGGAGACATGAAGCAGAATGCACAGATTGCAGAATTGGAGAATCAAGCGCCTGTACCACCAAAACCTTATTCCTCTTGGGCTCACCCTGTGCTAGATGCTCTACCAGACACTTCCAGCAGACAGCCGCTCATCTCATCCGTACAGACGGCCAGTTTTCTGCTAGGAGAGCCAGGGTACCGCAGAGGGAAGTTTCACGGTCCACAGGCAGCCTGCTTAGAGCTGGGCAGCACCGGGCTCCTGTCTGTGCAGCAGAAATATATTTGGCATCAGGTAGTCAGAGAGAGCCACCTCCAGGGCAGAAGCAGAACGGCAGGTCCAAGCTATTCACGAGCACTCCTCATCTCACAAAAAGCAGGACTGCACATCTTACAGCTACAGAAACGGGAGTGCTGCTGGAAAGGGGGAGTGAACACAGACACTGTGTCCTAGGGAGCAATAGAACAGATTGGGCAAGGAGACGAACTGCTCACCTTCTGAATGCTAACACCAGCCTGCTCACACTCCCACTCTTTGACTGGACTCCCCCAGGCCTGCCTTTGACATGCCACATCCCCTGAGTCTCCCCCATGAGCCTGGCTTGCAGGCAGCCCCGACACAGCCGCCCTGCCACCTGCACAGCCTCTCCCCACAGCACAACTGGATGCAAAGGCTAGAGGAAATAAAAGCAGCACAGCCCTGTTGGGCGAGATGCTGGTCCAACACCTGTGTTCAGGACCAGCTCTGGCTTGCAGGCAGGGCACTACAAGCAAAAGAGCACTCTTCAATGCTGTCCTCCAGCCAAAAGGAAACAAGCACTCAGTATCACTTCTTCCCTCCCACCCAGCCAGCCCTACACCATAGCAGCAGGGCTGGGACTGGAGGAGATACGCTCAGTCCCAGTTTTGCTGCCTCCTGTACTCTCTCTAGGAGCATCACATACATCTTGCCTGGCCCACCCTGCTGAGCCAGACTGACCCTGATCAGATGGGGACAAGCATCTGTCACAGCTCCATAGCTCATGAGACTCGCATTGTGAAGTCCAGGACTGCTCCACACATTGTCACCCGGGGCTGCTTTGCACCAGTCCAGGTTATCTGCATGCTGTTGATCCGTTTGTACCGGTCAGAGACAATGCTAAATCCCTCTGTGTCAGTGGGGTGCAGTTAGAAGAGAGTGGAGGTTTTTTCTTGTTTATAAACCATTTTCAAAGGTGTTTTGGTTCTTCTGGTGAGTTATCGGGGGGTTGTTTAGGTTTTTTTCCTCCTGGTGAAAAATCTCTCCCTTTCAGGTACGGAAGGAAGAAACAATGCAAAAGGAGCTGGACTGACAGGAGAAACAAAGGGTATTTTCTTACTAGGACTTGGGGACATCATCTTTTCTTGTACAGTAAGGAAGCACTTGAAGAACAGCAGGAAACTTAAAGACAACATAAGTTTTTAGCAATAAGGAACCTGAAAACTTAAATAAGGAATTCAGAGAACTGTGGAAGAGCCCACCCTGCTTTCCAGAATGACCTTAGCTTTCCACAAGTATACCCTGTAGTCTCTGCTCATAGTTGTATTTGGTTGTTTTCAAACAGCAGCTGTTCATCCAGTCCTACCAAAAAATCCAGATGGCCACAGTTCAAACTGCCTCACAATTTATGATGCAGATTAAATACATGATCTGTGTTTTTATATACTTATTGGCAGGCAGCCAACAGGAGGTTTTGCTTTTTTAGTTGTGTAAGACTGAATACCAACTTCCTGCAGGACTCCACAAGAAGGAAAGTATCCCTTTACGATTTGTTAACACCTTGCTGAGAACTGGATAGCTCAGAGAAATCAACCTGCTATTGGGTGCTCACTCCATAGTTGACATAGAGCTAATTAAAGCCAAAGTGAATATTTCTAAAAATTATAAATGACAAGTCTGTGACATTATCAATCAAGGCTGTGATTTGGTAAAAGAAGATCTAGTCTTCTTAAATCACTTAGATCACTTATGTTCCAACCTCTTAATTTATTATCAAGCAAGTCTTAGACCAGGCTTCCTTTATTTTGCCTGGAATTAAATCTAGGTTAAGTGACCCACACCTAATAACACAATCCTTCTTTCCCATAGTGAAAGGTTTCCTCCTTGATCCTTTACTTATGATTTCCTGCTACTCCAGTATTAGTATTTTTTAATAACTGCCAGCAGACCAGAGAACTTCAGCCATTTTTTCAAAACCCAGTTAAAAGTTATGGACATACTGACCTTGAAGCAGTTGTCCCATCTTGCTGCTATTTCACAGCTTTTACCTACAAATTAACAAGGAAGTAGGTTGTTTGTTTGTTGTTTTGTTGTCATTGTTTTGTTTGTTTGTTTGTTTTTAATAACTACTTTTCTAATCAAATAGAAGTTTTAGAAACCTATGGTATTTCTGTAGTTACTGCATACTTCGCAATTCCAACTTTTGTTGTTGTTGCCCTTTATATGTAGAATCTTGTATTAATTTCTCTACTACCGACAGATGCTTTTAATCTCCTTTATGCCTACAGTCATCAAGTATTTTCTGCTTACCAACTATGCTACATTTTTGTTACACCACCCTCCAACACCCCAGTTGCAGCTTTCTCTAAACCAGGTTTGATTTTCCATTCAACTTTGAGCTCCCTTTATCAGCAGGTCCCAATTCTATAAACATCTGAAAAGGTTTTAGAAAAAACATTTTATCTTGCCCCCTGCCTTTTTGAAACTAATTTGACATGAAACTTTACTTACAGTTTTCCTCCTTTGAAGCACGACATCATTAACACAAGTTTTCCATCTGCTCATCATGCTTATGACGAGGTCAAGACCTTAATAGCAATGAACTTCAAAGTCCAGTGGCTAGCTCATCTTTATTAACTGTAAAGGGGAAAGACTACAGGTAGCTCATTTGAGCTACAAAAAGCTGTACTGGAAAACTGCGGAATACTTAAGTGCCACGGCAACTTCACCAGTTTGTACCAAGCTTCCAACTGGTACTCCCCCCAGCGAGGCTTCCCTGTGACCTTAAAGAGGAGCACGTGAAAGGGGAGTCAGTCAGTACGATGTTATAAACCAAGACAGATTTGTGCTCGGTCCTCTGGATCGCTAGCTAAAAAACGACCCAACACTCCTTTGGGCAAGCTAGGTGCCAGGCTGAAGGTTCCTGAAGCAGCCAGCAGCGTGCCAAGCGCACGCTGCTTCACCTTTCCGAACACCTGCATCCTCCCTGCTCCGGTTCAGACCAGCAATGTGCAGTCTCCCCTCCCAGGAAACACCCAACCGGTCACTGAAGAATTCGCACACTAAGAGCTCCCATCTCCTCTCGCTCCTTAACGAGGCTGGGCCGCTGGGGACACCTCCCCGAGGAGATCGGTCCTGCCCATCCTTCTCCCTGTGCCCGGGGCCGGGCCCCCCCGTCCGCCGGCAGCCGCGCTGGCTCCGGCAGCGCCCGCCCCGCCCCGCGGCGGGAAAGGGGGGCGGCTGGGGCCGGAGCGAGGGCCCCTCCGCACCCCCCGGCCCGGCTCCGCGGGGACTGACCGACCGCCCACCCCCGCCGCCGCGCAGGGGCGCCCGCTCCCGCGGAGGCCTGGCGCGACGTCGCCGCGGACGCCGAGCGCCCGCTCGCGGCGGGGAAGACGCGTCGTCTCGCCCCGCGTCCAGGGCCGCGGCGCCGGCGGCCGCCCGGGGCCGAGAGGTCTCGGGGCGCCGGTCCGGGCCCCGAGGCAGACCCCGCCGACGGGCCGGCGCCCGGCTGGGAACTGCTCCGCGGCGCCAGCTGGGACGAAGCATCGCCCCGCAGGGCCGGCGGGGCATTCGCGAGCAGGGAGCCCCCCGCCCCGCCAACGGCCCCGGGCCCCGCCAGCGGCCCCGGGCCCCGCCGCGGCCCCGGTGGCTCAGCGCCCAGGCGCCGACCGCGTCCGGGAGACCGCCCAGGGAAACCCGCCCCCCCCCCCCCCCCCCCGCCGGCCGCGGCTCCTCCGCCACCGGGGCCACCGCACCGTCCCCACGGCGACGGCGAACGCCCGCTGCCCGCCCCTCGGCGGCACCACGACAGACGGAGCGCCGTCAATGCGGTGGGATTTTATTGGGGACCGGGCCGGTCACTTGCTGCTGGTGTACTTGGTGACAGCCTTGGTGCCCTCGGAGATGGCGTGCTTGGCCAGCTCGCCAGGCAGCAGGAGCCTCACGGCTGTCTGCACCTCGCGGCTGGTGATGGTGGAGCGGTGGTTGTACTGGGCCAGGCGCGAGGCCTCCGAGGCCAGCCGCTCAAAGATATCATTGACGAAGGAGTTCATGATGCTCATGGCCTTGGAGGAGATGCCGGTGTCCGGGTGCACCTGCCAGATGATAATCAAGCACTGTCTCACACACCCATCACTCTGGGGGGAGCCAGAGCCCCAGCGCACCCAGAAAAATGGGAGCACCCTTCGCACCCCACACAAGGTGCTCTAACACCAAAAGGACCCACAGTTGCCAGCACAAAGGTCTGCAGTTGTGTGCCACTTGCATTAGACTAAATTGATGGCCCCATGCTACTACAGGGGCTTTGGGACTGCACTGGCAGGAGTCTCTGCACAGTCCCCTATGGAAAACGAGCCTGTAAGGGGTGGAAATGCCCACATGCTTGAAGTCCTGCCTACAGGCTCATGCAGATGACAAGCCTAAACAACTCATGGCCCCCTCTCAAAATTCTCATCTCAACAGAAATTAACAGAAATATTTCAATACTTACCTCAGAGGGCCAACAGCAGCTTTTCTTGCCCTCGACTTCAACACAATTATTCCTTTAGACCAAGCCCTGCACTAGATCTGATTCTTTGTAGGAAACCCTTTCTGATCTAGATCCAATTCTTAACTCCTACCCCAAGAATCCCCTCACACACAAACTTTTGAGACCCATCTGGGCTCTCCTGAGCCCACTCATTCTTTTTTCCATCTCACCAATAAACAGGTTTGCCTTCCTTTATAAGGTCAACACGCAGTAGGCAGAGGTAACTTTACGTACGAAGCAGTTTATAGCAGAAAAAGAAACGCTTACTCACCTGCTTCAGTACTTTGTAGATATAGACTGAATAGGTTTCCTTTCTCTTTGGTTTCTTCTTAGACATCCTATCCCCAGAAGTGGGAACATAACCACGCTTCTTCCCAGCTTCTACACTCATCTCAAGCACCCACAGAACAAGCTCCAACAGAGCAACCATGAGATGCCATGGACCTGGTTATATAGCAAAGGCAGCAGTACCTCACCTGCCTCAGGTGCAGCCCACAAGGAGCAGGAAAAATACACATCTGTGACTGATGATTCCACTTTGCACTAAATGAAGGACAGCTGGCCTGAGAGGAGCTTGGAGTAACTGAGTCAATTAAACTTTCAGACCTGAGAAAAACTTTGAGGGTAACATGGGCAAAGAGGTGGGCAAGAGCTGTAGAGTTTCATTCACATAGGGCAGAAGTGCTAGAGAAGAGCTATTCCCAGATCCATCCAGGGTTTTGGTGAAAGGAGGGTTCCTGCTTTGGTGGAAGGGTGTTGGAGTACTTGAGGTATTGCTTCCAGAATCAAATGGGTAGAACACTTCTGTGCTATGGAACAGATAATGCAGTCAGTGGAGACTCAGTAACTGGAGGGAACATTGGTCTAGTGTTTGAATCTGTTCTGGGTTGAGTGAGTGGTGGAGTTTTTTGGTGGCAGGGGAGGGGGCTATCGGGGCGGCCCCCTGTGAGAAGCTTCTCGAAGCTCCCCCAGCTCCACGTCAGCTCCACTTCTGTTTGGGAAATTGAGCCAATCGGCTGCGCCTCTGCAATAACGTATTTAAGAAGGGACGTGGTGACGGGCAGTGGGACTGGTGAGGAGGAGTTGCTGCAGCTGCGTGAACACCAAGGTCAGTGGGGGAACGGAGGAAGAAAGGAGGAGGGAGGTGTGCCGGAGCAGAGACCCCCCCTGTATCCTGTGGGGAGACGGCAGGGTGGCCCCCCCCTGCCACCCATGTTGATCTACGGTGAAGCAGACATTGATTTGTGGCCTATTGCTCCTGCTTGGAATAATCAAGGTGCTGTGCACAAAGGACGGGGTCTCATGGGAAAAGGCAGCCCCGCTGCTGTAATTCAGTGCTGGGAGGATTGCAGCATGCGGGGGAGTCCCACGCCGGAGCAGCTCGGGAAGGGCTGCAGCCGTGGGAGGGAATCCAGTCGGAGGAAGTTAGTGACCCATGACGGAGCAGTGTGGGGAACGCTGCGGCCCGTGGGAGGGACTCATGTCAGAGAAAGTTTGTGGAGGACTGTCCCCTGTGAGAGGGGGACCACGATGGAGCAGGGGGGAACAAGTTTCGGACACTCCCCTCACCGAGGATAAGGGAAGTGGCAGCACTGCCTGCACCCCCCATTCCCTGTCCCTGCGCCGCTGGGGGAGGAGGTAGAGATATCGGGAGCAGAGCTGAGCCTGGGAAGAAGGGAGGGGTGGGGGGAAGGTGTTCTCAAGATGTGGCAATGCTTCTCACTGTCCTGCTCTGTTATGTTGTTAGTGTCTGTAATAAATGTATGTTCTTTTTTTCTTCCCCTAACGAGTCTGCCTTTTGCTCGTGACCATAAAGGGGATTTTTCCCCATCCCAGTCCTATCTTGAACCCCAAGCCTGGCTCTCTGTCCCTTCTCATTGCCGGAGGGGAAGAGAGAGAGAGCTGCTGCATTGTGGTTGGCTGCCAACCAGGCCTAAACCACAACACCATGCATTGACAAAGAACAGCACAGAGCTTCCCCCTCTGATGTACATTCCATCCACCCACTGATTTACAGAGCTGTAAATAGCTGAAGTCTTTGTGCTAGGCAAAACTGTTCACTGTGACTAGAACCATTTTACCTTTTCCACTGGTCATAGCACACAAAGAGTCTCTCATGCTAAAGGAGCTGTTAGCCCTGGTATCTCTCCACAGCAGCAGCTGTGTCTGTCCCTGGCAGTTATACACACACAGCTTGCTTTTCTGACAAAATGTTTAGTTAGAAGGAAGCCCTTTGATGGACAAGGAGTAGTGACTGGTCAGTCAGCATTAAACACAGGGAGCCATTATACAGCAAGGGCAGAGGCTCATCCACTGAGTAGTATAGTCAAATTTGAACTCCCAGATTTGGGGAATTGCCTTCTGCTCCCCTCCCTAGATTGCATGTGTTAGCAGCTGTCCATTCTGGAAGCTGGGTGCTGGGCTTGACTCATCCTTGTGCTATTTTTGTAGTGTATGGATCAACTCACAGCACAAAGACAAGGGAATCCCACAACCCTGCACTTGATGTAATATCTGACACTTCTGGCTGTGGCTGTGTTGGAGCCAACTTCACTTTTAGACTACAGGCAAGAGTAATGGTGTAGAGGCTTTAGGCCACTTCTTTCACAGAAGTGACCATCCTGTTGCAAATACCTTAATAAAACAGTTTGAATCCCAGAATATTATTTTGATTTTAGTTTAAAAGTATGATTTTGATTTAACATGAAGCTACAGTAGCTATGAGAATATAAAGTACGCTAAGGCCTTTAGGATTAAGCAACTAGTATGCTGGGGCTGTGTGCCTTGAACACTATAAATCGTTATGGACTCTGAATTAACACAATAGGTACTGGTTATGGATCTTGACTTGAAACAATAGGTACCAGAAGAAACTGGTTTGGTTGGGAAGATCGGCCAAAGGAGAGATAAGCATTAGCCAAAGTTAAAATGAGCATGCGCAAGGATGGAGTTCAATCAGCCGACACAGTGAGGAAGACTATTGATGAGCACCAGAGGACCCCCGTCCAATAGAACCACACATGCGTTAGAGACATTTGCATATGATAATTCCCAGGAAATAACATGAATATGCTAATCATTGCCCTCCCCCCAGTCTATTTAAATCAATCAGTAAAGATGACCAATGATTTCTGTAAAATAGGAATATAGGTAAGGTGAGGTAACTGAAAGCCAATCATTATTAAGGTCAACTTAAAATTTATTAATTTTGTTGATCTTATGTAACTATAACTCTGCTGAAAAAGTGTATGAATATGTTGTGCTTTGTACCTGTCGGCGAACATGTCTTTGGCATAGTTATCCCCCATGTTCCCCAGCGCTGGAATAAAGAAGTGCCGGTTTATCTGCTGGGTGTAGATAAGTTCTTTCGCGATTGCGACCGCTAACAATCCTAGCAGCTAAGGAGCAATTCTTATAATTTATCTAGATGTCATTTTGCTTTTGAGCATGACCAGAAAAGCCCTAGCTGAAACAGTTCAAAATGCCACTGTCTCAGCTAGAGGGTGTCTCTCACCAAAATCCAGGACATATGCCTGCCACAGCTGCTTTAGTTCAGTCTAACAGTCACCACAGAGCAGGTTTAAATCAAGGCTGAAACATCAGAATGATAAAGCATGTATATATATATTTCCTTTTACAAGTCCTGGCCTACTGTGACCTCTAGTACAGTTACAGCTACTTTTGCTTTGAACATGTACCTGTAGTCCTTGTTTGCTAAATCAGAGAACTGTCTGTAACGAAGAAGTTCCTCTCATTTCACAGCAGCAGACAGCTAACACAGCTCTCCTCTATGTTATATCAACTACAAGAATTCTCCAACTACTATGATGCTGGCTGTCACCCCAGGGTTCCCATGACCCTCAGGATTTGCCATTCCCAAAGAACACAGTGTAAGATTATATCCTGCATTTATTATTGCCACCCCGGTTCTCAACTACATAGATCTGAAAGGTAGTGATAAGAGTTGTTGCCAAATTTTTGCTAAGAATAAGGAAGAGCAGAATGAACAGCTCTAGCCTCAGGCAAGACTTCTTGACCTCACCCTTCCCACAGCTGCTTTGCAACCCTTTCCAACTCACCAACATCTTTTTAGAACCTAGAGAGCAAAATGAACACACACGCAGTCATCTATTCTTGCTTCAAATTTTGTGACACATCAGCTTCTACAGTAATTACTTATCTGTGGGTTGCTTTTACTCTGTCACTGTCTGTCCATTAACTTCTGAATACTACACTGTGAGACACTCATTTAAGTGACTTTTCAATGCAATCTAGGCTTTTCTGCAGAGCTAACTTGAGCAGCATTCATACTAATCTGTATTATTGTCTCAAAGACTACTTGTTTTCCCCCCTCTCAGATCAGTGTTAAAAACACTGAAAAACCTGAATGTTCTGCACTATCTACTGGAAACAGCTCCGCTTGTAACGTTTGTCTCATGGATGATACACAATGCTTCTATAGCAGCAGTCACAACTCGGATGCTTCCTTTGTAGAAAAAACAAGAAAATACTCAAAATGTCAGACCACAGAGGGTTGGTATCTGATACAGTAGTGCAAGAGAGTACAGCTACTATATATTTGTTCTATTCTTCAATTTGCCTGTCAACATGTAGCGTTGGAACAGGTTACTGGGTTACATGAACCTTTCACACGACCAGTGCAGCCAATCTCATGCGTCACAGAATTAAAATGGTAAGTCACAATCATAAGAAGCTATTTGGTTTGATTTGTTACCCGTTTCTTTAGTACTTCTAAATTGTTTTAAAAATACATGAAAAACTTATTTTATTCCAGCTTCTGTGGCACAGGGTGAGGTTTAAACACCAACTTTTCTAAAATGTTATTAAGAACAAAAATAAATGTTGAAGTAACTTTAGTTGATTAGTCTTTAGTTAAACCTGCAAAGAAGAAATAACTAATTCATAGTTCAAAAATCCTAAATTATTGAGTCTCATTATTAGACCCACACAATTCAAGGTGAAGGAAAAAGCATACATGTAAGCCACTCTGTTGTAGAGAACATACACTGGTATTTTATAGATCTACATTCTGTCTCTAACTTCCAACCTTCAAAACCCTTTCAAGTTGTATCTGTCAACAACAAAAAGAAGCATGCATGGCTTGCTCCCCCTTTTGTCACTAACTGGAAAACCCACTGCTCACTCTGTGGATTACCAGAGCTTTCCCAGATGTGAGGACCCTGTCTCCAGAGCTCAGTACTCAACACTTCGTGTATCCCACACGTTCTGGTCACAGCTTTGGTAGCACTGAAGAACTGAACCTTCACCCCAGAAGAAAGGGCTCTGCAGCCTTACTGAGAGCTCAGCACTAAGCGATTTGTCCCCACATGTCCCAGTAGCTACTGTGGCTCACAAAAGAAGACGAGACTGTTCTTCCCTCTTTATTGACTGTCGGTTTCTCAGGCAGATCTGTTAATTACACTGTT